TGCGCGTCCGGAGCCTGTGCCCCGCAACAGGAGAGGCCACAACAGTGAGAAAAAAAAAAAAAAAAAAAAAAAAAAAAAAAGAGTCATGTATCACATCATTGCAGCTTTGTTTACAATAGCTAGGGCATGGAATCAACCTAAGTGTCCATCGACAGGTGAATGGATAAAGAAGATGTGGCACATATATACAATGGAATATTACTCAGCCATAAAAGAAACAAAACTGAGTTATTTGTAGTGACGTGGATGGACCTAGAGTCTGTCAAACAGAGTGAAGTAAGTCAGAAAGAGAAAAACAAATACCATATGCTAACACATATATATGGAATCTAAAAAAAAAATTGTTCTGAAGAACCTAGGGGCAGGACAGGAATAAAGATGCAGACGTAGAGAATGGACTTGAGGACACGGGGAGGGGGAAGGGTAAGCTGGGACGAAGTGAGAGAGTGGCATGGACTTACATATACTACCAAATGTAAAATAGATAGCTAGTGGGAAGCAGCCGCATAGTACAGGGAGATCAGCTCAGTGCTTTGTGACCACCTAGAGGGATGATCCGGATAGGGAGGGTGGGAGGGAGATGCAAGAGGGAGGAGATATGAGGATATATGTATATGTATAGCTGATTCACTGTTATAAAACAGAAACTGGTGCACCATTGTAAAGCAATTATACTCCAATAAAGATGTTAAAAAAAGTAAAAATATATTTTATAAAAAAAAAAGGGAGCATCTCAAATGCTCCCTTCTTTAAGTTATCATAACCCTAGCCCTAGCTTGGTTCCTTTCCAGTGCCTCCAGTTGTTTTATCTTTTTTCCCCAATTTTTATAGTTGTTTATGATAGAGGGTAAGTCCAATCCCAGCTACTGCTCAAAGGCTAAGACTAAAGTCTTAGAATTTAAAAAAGTTCTAATAATGATATTAGGCCTTTAAGAGTGGATTATTTTTTAAATTTCTTATTTTTTTATTCTTTTTTCCTTTGTTAGAAATAATATTGTTCATTAACATAAAAAAAGTGCTTAGTACAATTCCTCTGTAAGGTATGTACTCAAGATATGTTAGCAGAGTATATAAAGACTCTTCAAAAATTAAATTCAAGCAAAACAATTTCTTGGGAGCCTAGAGAAGCTGGACGCAATAGTAGTTCCCTGATCTGTGGGCATTCATAAACCCTTATTTTCTTTTCAATTAGATTTGTATATCAAACACCAAGTAACTCAATATAGGAATTTGGTTAAAATATATTTTATTTTACATATATTTGAAGTATTAGTAAATCTAAAATTTTAATGTGAAGTCATTTGTTTTTGACATCATGTCAAAAGTGGTTACAGCTAAGTTAGTCATTTAGTTAAATATAATGAAACTCTAGATGGATCCTGAAACCTAATATTTAATTAAGGTTTCTTTAATTAATTCTTTAGTAAAAGAATTGCCCAATCTTATAAAACCTTATTTTTGTACTCAGTCTTTACTTTTCATTAACAATATTTGGGTCATTTTTGAAATAAAGAACAATACCATTAGTCTTTATATGCACAACAGGAGTTAAGGAGTTACATAAAATTTTGTAGCGTAGAATTTGAAACTAAGGAAATGTATGTATGATGATAGAGGGATGGAATGAATACGCTCCATGAGAATATTGTTAATTGCCTTACTGTCTATGCAGATGGGCTCATGGTAAAATTATTTACAAGTGAATACGACTTACTTTTACATCTTTGTAAAATTCTTTGCCTCATTACAAGTTAGTGATGAGAAAAAATATAGTATAGGATCAGTCCACAGGGATTTACCTTGGTGACATAATCCCAAGTGGTAATGACTTCACAGATTTTGTTGTGTTACTTTATGCGACGTCTTCTTTTCTTAAATAGATCTAACACAGTTTCTACACTTAAACATGACACTTAAGTTTGAGGCTATAGCTATATTTGACTCTGGCTGTAGTATAAACAGTAATTATTTTATTTTGAGTTACTGTTGACTATGGATTTAACAATTTTTTGAATTTCAAAGAATGTGGAAATTCAAAATTATTTGGAGTTGTAACTGTATCTCACAAGTCTGATTCTTGTGGAAAATTTTGGGCTTGCTCAAAAGTAAGGTAAAATAATTTTAATGGACTTTTGGTAAGATAGATTTCAAAAATTGTTCAGATGGTCATGGTAATATATATGCCTCTAAGCTGCCTCTCCTTTTTTTTCCTCTTGTCTTTCCTCAATCTCTTGCTTTTCTTCTCCCACTTAAAAAATATCAAAACAAAATAAAAATTCCTTTCTTGTTTTACTTCCGAAAATATGCAGGATGGACATGTAGAGGTGGCACGTTTGCTTTTGGATAGTGGTGCTCAAGTGAATATGCCTGCAGATTCATTTGAGTCTCCGTTAACGCTAGCTGCCTGTGGAGGACACGTTGAATTGGCAGCTCTACTTATTGAGAGGGGCGCAAATCTTGAGGAAGTTAATGATGAAGGATACACTCCCTTGATGGAAGCTGCTCGGGAAGGGCACGAAGAGATGGTGGCACTACTTTTAGCACAAGGTAAAATAGTTTTACTTCTTTAATTAAAAAATCGATTTCCTTCGGTTTTTTTGTGTCAGTATCCCTGAAGTTTACTACAACTAAGATATTTTTTGCATTGATGATAAAATAAATTATCAACACCCTGGAAGGAACCCCAGCAGCAGAGAAAAGATAATTATCACAAATCAGAACACTTTATTGTAAGTCTTTTGTAACTAGTTTTATCTATTTTCATGCTTTCCTCAGGAGCAAATATAAATGCTCAGACAGAAGAAACCCAAGAAACTGCTCTGACGTTGGCTTGCTGTGGAGGATTTTCTGAAGTTGCAGACTTCCTGATTAAGGCAGGGGCTGACATAGAACTTGGCTGCTCCACACCTCTGATGGAGGCTTCTCAGGAGGGACACCTGGAGTTGGTTAAATATTTACTGGCTGCCGGTATGTGGCTTTAAAAACACCTTTTAGAAAAAGACTTTTATATTGCTTTCATAACTTTAACAATTAACCATAACTTTTTCAACTTTCTTCTTAGGCTTTTAAATCTCCAAAAATGTCATTTTTCTAAAAGGTTTCTTAGAGTTATTAATGTTTGCTTGGTGACTGTAAGGCTTCCCGTTGACCATATCTTTCTATTGAATGTTTGTGGCTTTTGGAGGGGGGAAGTTAGTTCCTCCTAGAGTCTATTAATAAGAGGAGGTGGGGATGACATAGAGGTTATAATTTGATACCCTTAAGCCTGTTCATTTCTTGACATTTCTGACTTCTCAAAAAAAATAAGAAAGAAAAAATGAACGAACAAGTGGGAATTTTTTTTTTGGCAGAAGTATTTAGTTTTTTGGATTTTTTTGTTTATTTGTTTTTAAATATTTATTTATTTGGCTGCATTGGGTCTTAGTTGTGGCATGTGGGATCTTCATTGCAGCGTGAGGGATCTTTGTTGTGGTGCAGGCTCTTCGTTGCAGCATGCAGGCTTTTCTCTAGTTGTGGCACATGGGCTCCAGAGCCCATGGGCCCAGCAGTTGTGGCACATGGGCTCTCCAGTATGGCACGCGAGCTCTAGAGTATGTGGGCTTAGTGCCCCGTGGCATGTGGGATCTTAGTTCCCCGACCAGGGATCGAACCCGTGTCCCTGCTAAATGTGGATTCTTAACCACTGGACCACCAGGAAAGTCCCAGAAGTATTTAGTTTTAAAATAATTTGTGCTTGGGCTTCCCTGGTGGCGCAGTGGTTGAGAGCCTGCCTGCCGATGCAGGGGACACGGGTTCGTGCCCCGGTCCGGGAAGATCTCACATGCTGCGGAGCGGCTGGGCCCGTGAGCCATGGCTGCTGAGCCTGTGCGTCCGGAGCCTGTGCTCTGCAACAGGAGAGGCCACAACAGTGAGAGGCCTGCGTACCGTAAAAAAATTAATTAATTAATTAATAATAATAATAATTTGTGCTTTATATATTGTTAACCAGTGGTAAGAAGTAAGGTTTTTTACATCGAATATTTATAGTTTTATATAGAGCAAGTTAAGGTTATATCAGAAAAAATTGATCCAGACAGATGTAAACCTTTATTTATCCTTTAGAAGTAGTATACAATTTTTTATCCATATCTAATAAGCTGTTTAAAACTTGACATATAAAGAAATTCATAAAGGAAAATAAAATGTGTAGCAAAACTTTATTCATCTTTATTGTTAATATTAATTTGATTATAGCCCAGCATCAATTATTCCTTTGAATTAGTATTGCAATAATTTCTTAATCCAGATCATTAATGGTTTAGATGATTGTTTAGATTTTGAACCAATGTACAAACCAACCATACAGGCTGACCTCTTCCTTGACTCAGATACTATTATTTGGGCTTCCCTGGTGGCGCAGTGGTTGAGAGTCCGCCTGCCGATGCAGGGGACGCGGGTTCGTGCCCCGCTCCGGGAGGATCCCACATGCCGCGGAGCGGCTGGGCCTGTGAGCCATGGCCGCTGGGCCTGCGCGCCATGGCCGCTGGGCCTGCGCGTCTGGAGCCTGTGCGTCCGGAGCCTGTGCTCCGCAACGGGAGAGGCCCGCATACCGCAAAAAAAAAAAAAAAAAGAAGAAGGAATAAATAATGTTAACTAAGAAATCACCAGGCATTCTGCTCAGCTCATGTGTTAACTCTGTTAATTACCACTGGCCACTGGTATAGTTAGAAATATTACATACATTTTATAGATATAGAAACTGATGTACAGTCATGTTACATAACTTCCCTAAGCAAATCAAGCTAATAAGTGACAGGGCCAATATTCAAACTTAGAACTCCTGACATTGTTTTTTCTGTTGCATCACCACTGATTCTCATATTTAGCTACTGTGGCTAATTTGAAGTAGGTAGTTTCTGGAACTGTCTCGGGGGCCTGAGAATCACTTTTTATGTGATCACTTCCTAAAACAGTTTTTTTCCAGATTAGAGTGTGATTTATTTACACGCATTTCTTCTTATAGTGTAGCACTAAAGAAGAATCCAACAGGTCTTTTCATACATTTCCTATACTGTTTTTTAAAAAAATTTAAAAACCTTGGGCTTCCCTGGTGGCGCAGTGGTTGGGAGTCCGCCTGCCGATGTAGGGGACAGGGGTTTGTGCCCCGATCCGGGAGGATCCCACATGCTGCGGAGCGGCCAGGCCCGTGGGCCATGGCCGCTGAGCCTGTGCGTCCGGAGCCTGTGCTCCGCAACAGGAGAGCAGGAGAGGCCACAACAGTGAGAGGCCCGCATACTGCAAAAAAAAAAAAAAAAAAAAAAACACAATACCCTTTCCTTCCCTAAAATTTTATGTTTTTCTGTCCCTTGGATTTCCTATAAGTAGTACTTAGATCTAGAGACTTGATTGAATTCAGGTATGATGTATGTTTGTTTTGTTCTGTTTTGTTTTTAAGACTACTTCATAGGTAGTATTTGTGTACTTTCTTCAGGAGGTAGTAAATGTCTGATTGTCCCTCTTTTTGATTATTAGATATTGATGATCATTGCTTAGATCCATTAATTCGTTAGGGGTTACAGAGTGGTAATATTCTAAATTCTATTATTCCTTCCTTGTTTATTAGCAGAAATATGTCTATAAAGAGAAACTTCCCTTCATCAACTATTTGGTTACTCTTAGGTATAAATCATATAGGAACAGTAGTATAAATGTTTGATTTTTCCCCCCCTTTCCTCTCCCCCCCTCACCGCAAATAATGAGGTGGACCCCCTAGTATCCTTCAGTGGTGACCAATGAAGTGGTTTTTTGGTTTTGATTTGAACATCATTTTGAACTTCTAGATTTAAACATACATGATGGCCTTTATTCTATCATAGTCCTCATTCTTTTTGATGTAAAAATTGCTGAAAGATGGGACAGTTTCACTATCTTTGGTCAATAAGTTTAGCTCCTAAATCCTTTTGGCGTGACCTCATTAGAGTCTGTTTCCTTGCTTTTTGATATTGCTAGGTGTTTCAGGCCCATCTTATACAGATTCTCCCCTAGTCTTGGAACCAATTATTTCTTTAAGAAGCCCTAATTTCATTTAGTAGGATATGGTACTTAGAGATCACAGTCTTAGCTAGAGATGCTATTTCAGCTTTGTCTTTCATTGTCTCTAGGCCTTTTTAGTTGGTCAGAATGAGGAAATATTTTTCTTACAGATAATAATACAACATGAATTCATGTCAGTAGTTCCAATTCAGAACCATACGGTTTTACTTAACTTCAGCAATCTTTTATCTGTGTTTTCTCTCAGCCATGCCCCAAATTTCACTGACCAAAGGATTACTCATTTGATTTTTGCCACAATATCCATAGAATAGAAACCAAAACTACTGTCAATACGATTTCTGAAAACTGATATTTTTGGCTTTAGCAGCCCTTTTATTTCTTAGGGTATATCTTACTGGGGATGTATAGGCAGATTTTTTTTTTTTAAATAAATTTATTTATTTTTTATTTTTGGCTGCGTTGGGTCTTTGTTGCTGCGTGCGGGTTTTTCTCCGGTCGCGTCTAGTGGGGGCTACTCTTTGTTGTAGTGCGTGGGCTTCCCATTGCGGTAGCTTCTCTTGTTTCGGGGCACAGGCTCTAGGCACGCGGGCTTCAGTAGTTGCAGCACGCGGCTCAGTAGTTGTGGGTTGCGGGCTCTAGACCACAGGCTCAGTCGTTGTGGCGCATGGGCTTAGTTGCTCTGCGGCATTTGGGATCTTCCCGGACCAGGGCTCAAACCCGTGTCCCCTGCATTGGCAGGCGGATTCTTAACCACTGTGCCACCAGGGAAGTCCAGATTATTGTATTTTTTAATCATTTGGTAGAGTTCCTTTCTGTGTGGCTAAAAACATTTTTCCAAAACATTTAAAGGAAAATTAGGATTCTTGAAATCTGATATTTTCATATTTAGAGTTTATGAGTTTCACCAAATTATAAAATTCACAAAGTAAATGTGTAATTTTTTTGTTTGCCAGGTGCTAACGTTCATGCTACAACAGCAACAGGAGACACAGCCTTAACCTATGCTTGTGAAAATGGACATACGGATGTTGCAGATGTTTTACTTCAAGCAGGGGCTGATTTAGTAAGATATTTTTAATTTCAAATATTTTTGTGTGAATGTTAATACTCCTTTATTTTTAACATTTAGAAAACACTAGTAAAGAAGATCAATAGTTTGCATGCTTTGTATAAAATAACTTTTAAAAGTTTGGCTACTTGTTCTAGTTGTTGCATTTATTAAATGTATTTAAAAGTAGTTTTTAAAAGGGCATACTGTTTCTTTTCCTAGGTAAAAACATTTGTTTCTTTCTTCCTCTCACCCCAGTCCCATTTGACATTCTTGAACCTTTTTAACTGCCCTTTATTAGATACACAAATTCAATGATATGTTTACAACATAGAATAACCTGTCAAATCACTTTGAGTGATTTCTTTTGTTTTTCTAATTAGTTAGACATTTAAAATAAAGCTACTGTCATCTTCCTAACAACATTATTACAGCATTTCATTCTTTTTCTGTTCTTTTAATATCTTCTATTTTGGCTTTTCAAAGTTTCAAATTAGATGGCAGGTTCATATGTGTAATAATCCTTACAACTATGGGAAATTATAAATAATATCCCACTTAAAGGTTTATGCTTCTTGCTGAAATGTTTGCTTTGACTAATTTTTATTTTGTGAGATTATTTTGAACTGCTTTCTAGAGTTTCTTCCAGAATTCCCTTTTGTATTTCTTAAAAATCTGTGTGAGACACGCATAATTATAAATGCTGTAGAGAATCAACTTTATTAATTTCAGTTATTTAGAAAAAACTGTGCAAGTATTGTCTTGTAAACCAATTCCAGTAACAGACATTCCCCCCAAAATACCTGAGAACATTGTTGGAAAATAATTATTGACTATAGTAAGTGTGTAGTGTAATTATGCTATTTATTTATCATCATTTCTACTACTAATAAATATTGTAGTGATAAGACTAGCATTCATTCTCATTAATTAGGATCTGCCAGTTAGAGTTTCTGAGAGGTGTACTTTTTTCGTTTCAAAATTATGACGGATATGTTAAGTAGATCTTAATCTTCTGCCTTCTTTTTTTATCTCATTCCTTCTTTTAGAGTTGCTTTGGGTCATCTAAAAATTAAGAATTGAAGCATTTCATCACTTGGAATAAACAGGGTAGAGCATAAAAGCTTAGATAATATAAGCAAATTTAATACTCTTATCTGAATTCTTATCAAAATTCTTCCTTCCATTTTTCCATAGCTAAGTCACTTTTTTGACTAATTTGCTAGTTCTTCTAAAAATATTAAATAGGAAAAGAGGAATTATCTGTTAAATGCACTTTAAAGTATAGCAAAACCTTAGTGATTTTTGACAGTTTAAAAATTTGTTATGAAATATTTTTAAATGCCCTTTAAAACAAAGGACACTTAAAAATAGAAAACAAAATAGTTGTTTTCTATTTTTTATTTTGATAGTTTTCTGGAATTAGGTAAATTGTGATTAAAATTCCTTAGAAGAATTTCATTAAATAAGTAGATTGAAAGATTTGAATTTACCTTACTGTTTTACATTCAAAATATAAGATTAAAAAATGGCTCAGATAAATATTTACCTTAAGTATAAAGGTAATACTGTTATTCTAACATAACTGTTTTTCTCTTTTGCAAACCGTCTTTGCCTTCATATATACATGTAATTATAATCATAGTATAGTACAGTTGTTTTCTATTTTCCAGAATGTGTGTTCTGTCATAATCTTTTCCATTTTGCTGCATATTCTATATATTTATAACGTGCATAATATCCCATCAAGTTGATGAGCCATAATCATTCACTTATTATTGAACTTTTGACTTGCTTTTTATTTTTCACTGTTGTAAATACTGCTAGATTTAATAATTTCATGTGCATAACTTTTTCTTTTTTCTCCTTTCGAATTATTTCATATATTAATTTTTCACTTTAAAAATGTATTACTATTTTATGCTTTTGCTATCTGTGGAGAGATATTTCAATTTTAATATTAGTTATTTTCCTGATTGTAAAAAGCAGTTCTTGTTCTTTATAGAAAATGTGGGAAGTATGGAAAAGCATAGTAAGTTTGATATTTAAAACCTATAAATAATTTCAGACTTTACTATAAGCCATAGGTGGGAAACAAAAGACCTAGTGAAAAACAAGAAGTGAGTAAAGCAGGCAGATCAGTTCCTGAGTCCTGAGGAAGAAAATGACTGATAATTCTTGCTAGCTGGACCTAAAAAGACAGTAGCACCTTTCTTGTCCTTCATTCTTTTCTGTCACCTCCTAGTATCTGTTTAGGACTGTAGTAATTTCCTCCAGTGGTTTGGAATTGGAAGACTACACTCCCATTGCATGGAGTGGAGATGTATTCCATTTCTGGCATCCCATAGATGTATTCTTGATGTCTAGGTTTGGTAGTTCTTTAAGTTAAATTGTTTGTTTTCGTGGGCTAGCTGAGAACCTTCATTTGGGGGGGAACTATTTTTACCTTCGGTTTTAAATAAGAACGCACAAGTCAACCTTTGAAACAATCTGGACCATGCTTTGTTAGATTTTTAGAGCTTAACTTTTGCCACAATTTAAGGCTGTTATTATTTATTTTTTAAAGAGCTTAAAAGTTGTCTCTTATTTTTAAAAATATTCTGTAGAATCAGTTAGGATATTAATTACAATTTTATAAAAATGTAATGCAACAATTTGGATTTCTTATATTGTTTCCTGAGATGAAACTGAGAGGTTTTGAGGCTTTTCATTCTACATGTGTAGTAGGTGTAGTTTAGAACTTAGTTTTAAAGGAAATCTAGACAGTTTCTTATTTAATGCTTTTTAAAAAATCCACAACCAGAACTGTTAGTATACTTGAGCATTTTCAGGTAGATCCTCAAAATACGTGCATGTTCTCATTTGAAACTTAGTTATTTGAAATTTTATTTTTTCTTGTTTTAAAGATATTTAAAATGAAAAAATATTAGATATTTCCACTAAAAAAGAACCCTGAATATCCATCATATTTAGAAGGTTGTAGATTGATATGTAACTTGTCTACCTTTGTAATAATTGCATAAATTTGAATAATCCATTATTAAAAACCTTTGGACTAGATTAGTTTTCTTAAATAAGCCACTTAAGATGTTCCTTTTGGAAATCAAAAATTAAATGAAATAAAAATTGTCCATTAATTCCAGAGTTCTTTTTGAAAATTCTCCCTATTTAACATGCAAAATCATTTTAACTACTCAATAAGCAGAGAGCCTTGAGCAAATCACCTAATCCATGTCTTCCATATAGTTGTACTTCTTGTTACCACTGTAATGGGAATCATTATATATTGAAATAAAGATTATTCCTTTATGTACTTTCTTTCTCTGCATAGCATCTTTTGTTTATTGGGCCCAAATTAGTATTTAGTATTTGGTGTGATTACAGGTATAATGTGATGTAAACCCATTGTAAGAAAGTTTGTATTAAAACACATAAGCATTCTGTAGTATACTTAAAATCTAAAAGAAATTTAAAAAAAAAGAAAAAAGAAAAAAATAAACCAGCCTTTGGAAACTAATCTTATTTCTCTGAAAAGGAATATACTATGTATCCTTACAAATTTGTTATTGAACTGCTTGACCAGAAATAACCAATAAACACCATTTAAAAATCAAAGTTGAGTGACTCCCCTGGTGGTCCAGTGGTTAAAACTCCACACTTCCACTGCAGGGGGCATGGGTTCAATCCCTGGTCCAGGAACTAAGATCCCATATGCCATGAGGCGCAGCCAAAAAAAATAATAAATAAAAATAAAATTGACATCTGCAATATTAAAAAAACCGAAAACTGAAATTGATTCAGTTCCATTGTCTTTGAGTCACTGTCCTGGTGTCCTGTTTAATTATTACTTTAGGCTGTTCTCCCCATTTACTGGTCTTTAGACCAAAAGGCAGAGTTTTAATATTTCATTCTTATTCGTATCTTGATAGCTTACTTCAGCTAAAGCATTTTTATGGCTTGATTTCTTTTACCACAGTCCTCTAGCCCCCTCTTTACTATTACTTTTATGTTCAAGGTGGAGAATTTGCATAGTTAACTATTCAACAGTATAACTTGGATTGTAAAACCCTACTCTGCTTCTTTCTTTTTTTCTCTTGCTTGCTTTTAATTTTGACTTACTTTGTTGTCTGTGTTTTCCTGGCTTCCATGCCCCACCACGTTATTGTTACAGAGATGATCCATCTCTATGAAAGATGACTGCATCAGGTCAGAGTTTCCAAAGCCCCTAATGATAGGATGTTTAGGTGGCAACAGTGTTGGTTTACATGTCAGTGTTGTTTTGTTTTTCTGTTATATATATATATATATATATATATTAGGAGTTTTTGTTGTGTTTTATTTTTATTTTGTTTTATTTTTTTCTTCCAGGTTTATTAAGATATAATTGGCATACAGTACTGTATAAGTTTAACTTGTGATTATCACAATAAATTTAGGAACCTCTGTCATTTCATATAGATACAAAATTAAAGAAATAGAAAAAAAATTTATTCCTTGTCATGAGATCTCTTAGGATTTGCTCTCTTAACAACTTTCATATATAACATACAGCAGTATTAATTATATGTATCATGTTGTATAATACATCCCTAGTACTTACTTATAACTTGAAGTTTGTACAGAGTTGCTTTGATTTGGTGGTGTTTCTGGTTTTCAAACCATTTTTAAAGATGATGGAATCTTTCTCTTTTCATCATGGCATGTTAATTTCAGCACTAAAACGTTGTTGAGATAAAAGAAATATTTGTGGAATTTCCTTCACATGTATTTACCAACAAAGCTAAGGTTGGAAAGGGAGAGTGATATATAAATCCCGTAAATTCCTTCCTTCTCTACAGCTCCTTGGCCTTTCATGTCTAGAAGAGGAACTCAAGTAGTATTTCCCATAATAAACAACTGACATAGATATTAGAGAAGGTAAATATATTCTAGTTGTGTTCACATAAAGATTTTTTATGACCCACTTTAGCATGTTACAGGCCTTCATTGCTATTTGAAAGTAAATCTACTAAAAG